CGTGTTTGTCATTGCTGCCGCCGCGACCTCCGGAGATGATGTTGGCAGAGCAAGCCCAGAAGTGGTTCCCGACTCACGTGCAGGTGACGGTCCTTCAAGCCAAAGGTCTGAAGCCGAAAGGTAAAAATGGCAGCAACGACGCCTACACCATCATCCAGCTGGGCAAGGAGAAGTACTCCACCTCGGTGGCCGAGAAGACCCTGGATCCCGTCTGGAAAGAAGAGGCCTCCTTCGAGCTCCCTGGATTGCTCATGCAGGAGAACCCGGAGAAGTACATCCTGTACCTGATCGTCATGCACAGGTCGCTGGTGGGGCTGGACCGGTTCCTGGGGCAGGTGGCGATCAGCCTGAATGACGTCTTTGAGGACAAGCAAAGAAGGAAAACAGAGTAAGTGATGGTTGGTTTATTTCGTTATAGTTTGCGCTCTCGGTATGCTTGGTGGTGGGGGGAATAGTAGCCTGATTATCACCATACTTTTAAATCAAATTGGTGTGTTTCTTTCTGCAGTGGTGTGCTCAAAGCCCCTAACGTGCACAGTTATGTCACTGCGGCCTGACCTCTTCCAGAGAGAAGTTTACTGTACTCACATTAGTCGCTCTGCACAGGGAAGGGCTGTCAATAACGTTAACATGGCTTTTTGACAAATTCTCGTGTGCAACATGAACTCGTTACCGTCTGTTTTTATAAACATTTTTCTTCTTTCTGCTCAGGGCCATGTCCCCGTTCAGCTCCTGCCTCAACTCGAACCGTGTATGAGACTCAGACCCCCTTAAGTCTGGTGTCGTTCTCTTTAAAAACGTTTTCCTTCTCTTGCTGCAACCAAGCGTCTTTAAATATTTTATATTTATGTGTTAGCGGTCAATGAACTGTGACTTAATGAAGGCTTACCAGGGCAGCACAGTACTTTTGTGATCCTGATTAGTCTTAGGCCGCGATCCCGCAGGCTGCTCTGTACAGCAGGCCTCAACAGGGGAGACTGAAGAGAAATTTCTGCTGCTGTAGCCTCCATCATTACCTGCATAAGCCTTTGGCAATGCAAATGCCATTGCCAGCAAATTCTGGCACTGGAACACAAAAAAAAACAAAAAAGAAAGAAAAAAAAAGAAAAATATAAGCATCACAGCAGTTTATTAGGCTGAACTGTAAACGTATCTAACTCTCTGGGTTTTTCAACTAAATTGTTTATAATTTCTAGTTAGGTCATGATTGCACGAAGATGTCTGGTACCAGTTTAATTTATCCTCCAAAGTGTATGGGAATAAGCTGTAGGTGCAAGTGTACTGCAGGCATGCCTGTGACTACGATTTGTGTTGGTTTTAGCTATGCTTGTCCCACAGAAGTAGTCCGAGAACAGCATGGAGACCTCCAAGCTAGCTGTATGTAGGCAACGATGTATCGGCGCTGACAGATCTTTCTGCAGTGGTTAAAAAGGTCCTGCCCCAGGTGCTTTTCCTCCTCTAGTGTGTCTTCGATAGAGAGGCTCCTGTGCCCAAATCTCAGCTGTTACAGGCTGGTATTTCTGCTGTTAGTGATGGTGGGTCTAGGGTAAGATGCTGGACTTTGCGTCGAAGTGGCTAAGGGTCTGGCATGATTTGTCTGTTACGGACTGTGCTGGGGAGGTGTGAACCTCCAGCAGAGCCGGGGTGGACAGTCAGAGGTGGAAATCAGTACAGCAACACCAGCCAGGTCTTGTTGGTCAGACAATTGCTTCTGGAGAAACCATCTCAGATCCTGGTCTTGCTTATGTGCAGGGGCTGAGGTTGAAGGAGCACCAAAAACAAGTCAAAGCTGCCTTTGCCCTGGTGTTTGGAGGGTTTTTTTGCAAATTAAATTTTCAGCAAAACAGTATGTTCACCAGCCATATAATAGGGAACAACGTGTCCACGCAGAATCTCTTGTGGGTTTGTGGTCTGAACTGTTATACTTTTTAATTGCTTATCTTTTTCAGGACAAACCACTTACCTTGATGCAATGCATGGTAATGCCTGTAGCCTTAGGGTCTTAATTTCTGCTTACACCCGATTCAAGAAGTTTCAGTGCTTTTTAGACATGCATCTTAAATATTCTTTAATCATCAGTTGTAATTATCTTGTAAGTCATAGGCAACTACTTTAGTTTAAACACCTTCTTCTGTTCTGCAGAAACGCTGCTGACTGTAAAAGCTGTGTAAGTCTAGGTAGAAATATGTATTCAGAAACTGGAGAATATATGTAAGTTACTCATGTATCACTGGGAGTAACAAAACCTCTTTTCCCTTTGGGGAACCATGCACTTTTGCAGCAATTTTAGCAAAAGTAGTGTTGGAGTCTTACAAAATTATTGCAAAAATTTGTAAGTGGGGTAATTAACATAGTCCTTGTGATAGTTAAATAAACATTCAGTTCTCTTCAGTGTATTTATGTGAAGCTGTGCTTAGCAGGGCTTGATAGGCGTTCTTTATTTTTTCGTTTCTTTCTCTGAAGTGTGAGAGAGGAACTCGCGCTGTGTAACCGTGCAGTGGTGCTTCCCTGGACCACCGCGGAAATTAGCAGGGCTCCCCGAGAAATCTGCGCTCTGCCTGCGAGCTCTGCTGCATAAGGTGGGGGCCTGTGGGGAAATTGTTACAAACAGCCCAAGTCCTACTTTCAGAAGTTACTTGAGCATTTAGGATTGCAAATCTTATTAAAAGTTGATGGGCGTAAGGCTTCTAGAGCCGAACAGCCCTACTTGTAAAAGTCTTCCATACGTGTAAAAGTGCTGACGGGCAGTTAGTGGGAAATTTGGCAGCACACGCTCACTTAATGTCGACTTAAATTCTTACGAGATAGGAGCCACTGGAAGTCCAGTTTTCCTGTCGGTGTGTGTAGGTGCTTAGAAACCTAGAAAATGTCCTTTTTGAAACTCACTTTTGAAAAAATAGTTCAGAGTCCTTAAGCCTTTAGATGTTTTCGGAAAGTTACCAGGGTTGTCTGCTTGTACGCCTTAGTGGAGTGCGTGTGTCTTGTTGCTGTCTCCGTTAAGCCTTAGGTGGAGATGTGGATGCAATATTTGTACGTGTATGTGGGAGGAGGGCAAACTTTCAAGAATAAATTTGCAAATGCGATCTCAAACAAAACGCTCTTTCTTATTCTCATTTTATTAAATCCTTTCTGATACAAAATATTCCTGGTCCTGTGTTGGCAGTAAACTAAGGGTGATATATTTGGACCCGAAGACCTTCTAGCTGTGACTATGGTGTGGGAACTGAGATACCCAGTGCCTTTCAAGACCAAGTCCAATGTCTTTATTACCAAAGCATTCTGATGGTTGAAAGCTATATTCATTGTTTCAGAAACACTAATCTGTTTTATTAAGCAATGTTTTTGCTTTCAAATATGTTCAACAGGCTTGTGGTGTTATTAAATCCAGAGTTATTTTCTCATGTTGATGTAACCTTAACATTTCTTGCTTTGTTTGGGGATGAATGAGATCCAGTTATTTGATGAAGTGTCTATTGGTAATATTTCTACTTTTTAATATATTTAATAGCTTCCTCTTTCCAACACAGCTGTACATATGGTGCTGTAAGAGACAGACTCAAGAGTCACCAGGGTATTGCAAAAAAGATATTTAATATTCTGCACAATGCTGAACCCTGTCAGCAATTCCCTGGTGCTTTTTTAGTAAGGAGGTATGAGAAGTGAAGGCTACCAGCTGATTTTGAATTCCTAGGAAGACCGTGGGGTGTGTGACATTCAGCTTTTTGTATTTTTTTTTAATTTAATATTTTTTAATTTGGAAGAAATAATTTAAAAAATACACTGCAGCTTCAGAAACATAATGTTAGGGAAAAATGATCCTTTTTTTCTGTATAGCTTTTTTTGTTGCTTGTCAAAGCTTATGAAAAATACTCTCTGCAGTGAAGTTTTCGGGCAGAGGCCTCATGATAGGATTTGCGTGTCTTGTGTTCTAATAAACTTGATTTCACACAATATTTAATGAAACAAAGCAGTATAATTACTGTAACTTGATAGTGAAAAATTTGTACACGCTGTCACGCAATATCTTTTTTCTTTCTTTCTGAAACTGATGATTTTTCGAATTCTTACAAGTGAAAATTCCTGGAACGGTTAGATCCAGATGTGGCTCAGATGGTCTCTTACTAGGTCTCTTCCCGAAACCTCAGCCAAAGCATCTGCAGGATCCTAGTTCATTTTCTTTCTGTATTGGTGCAGAAGTGCCCATCACGCCGTGCTGGCTTTGTAAATTTGTGTCTCTGGCATCTCTGCTGTAGCTGGAAAGGGACAGGCTCCTTTTACTTCTTCCGTTCTTTTCTCCAGAGTGGAAGATGAGGCTCCAGATGCTGAGAGAGGTTTTACTGAGGTTTTTTAGCAGTTCAGAAAGCTTGGGAGATACTGCTTTACTGGAAGCATATTTAGCATAACTTTTCAGATCTTGGATTTCTGACATGGTTTTTTTTTTTTTGGCGGTAAAATCCTGTGGGGTGTTTTTTGACTCCTCCTGAGAAATATGTGACTTTTTTTTTTGGTCTACTGTTGCAGAATAAATATACCTCTTTTGCTCTTGCAATGTAAATGTAAATGATGATAAGTGAAAGTGTTGTTTTAAAGGATATATACATTTTTGTAATAATTCCAGTTCAGTTATAATTCAGTTGCCTTATTACTATTGATGATCTGATGTGTAACACCAAAACAGATTTTTGAATTATCATGGAGTAAAAAAATACTCATTTACTGACATGTCTTACTTTACTGAAGTATTTTCAGTAGTTTTTCCTTAATGACTGTGCTTAGTTTTTTTTTCCTTTGACCTAAATGAACAGAGCAATAGAAGAACAAATTTCCGTTAGCTTTCACCATGATGTTACTTATTTTATCGGCATTTGCTTCATCCTTGTTGTTCTCTAATTCTGCACTATTTATTGTCTATTGCTTTATTAGCTTTCTTGGAGAGCTAGTTTTATTAGATGTTCAGCTAATTTAATATGCAACACTTGTCTGGAATGTTACGAATTTGAGGGGGGCAGGCGGTAGTAGAGTTATTATTTCTTACAGAAATTTTGTTGGAGGAGACATTTTTTTATATGTAACGTAATTCACCTTCTCTCTGGTTTCTATAATACCTCAACACCCCACCCGAGCCACAAATTGCAGCAGTGTTGTAAAAAAATGCTTATTTGGGTATTATACAGTGAAGGAATCTTGGCCGTATCTAAGATGTTTCTCCTCTGCTGCCATTGATGATATAAAATAGTCAGAAACAGCTTCTCAGCAAACAAACAGACAAAAAGAATTAACAATTGACCACAATCAGTACCCCTGTGTTTTAAGCACTTATTCTTTAGTGGTGCTGATCTTTCTGAAAGATACAAAAATTGTGTGACTTCCTCCAAATTAATGAGAATT